CAATACGACACACTCAACTTTACAAACAAATTTTGCGGCTATCATTCATTGCATTTGCCAAAAATCAATCCAACTACTTTCGCAGCAAGGAACTTTAGTGAAACCTAATTTGCTTCTCTTGAAACTACTACAGCGCCTTCCAGGACACTTCCTCTTATATCATTACTTCACTCAAAAGATGGTTGTGTAGTCATTAAGAATGCTCTCCTGTTTGGGTTAGGCGCATCCATGCTGATCCAGCTACAATAATTTGGTGCTCATTTCTTCCAACGTTGATGGGATTTTTCTGTAATTTCATGGACCGCTCAAAATACTGTCTCTTTCACCGCGTCAATAGGAATGAGGGCGTATAATTGAGTAGTAAGATAAATTTATCATTATTGCTTTTGGTTTTGAATGTGGTACGTAATGAATATTTTGGCGTAGATTAGTCTAAGACCTCTCTCCGCCCCTAGGGAGTTATGGCGTCACGGGCGAGACCACCAACCGAAAATGAGCCCATCGGACATAGAGAGCCAGTCAGTGGTGTTAAATCCGGTCGCCGACGTGGCTGAGCAGCTCTCCACCACCCTACAGTCCTGTCTGCGTAATTGTGTGCGTCAACATGCCTTATCTTTGAGCCACCGCTGCAGCCAGCATTCGCCTGCGAACTCCTCTACCACAGCCAGTCCCCAGTGGCTTGGCGATCTCGTTGGTGGATCTGCCGCTTCCCTTCTTTCTCCACTCTGCACCGTACGTTTTCTTCGAACATCATTCCTTTATATACTCAGTCGTTTTGCTTATAGAAGTCGGATACCTTATAGAGATAGGCTTACTCTAGTCTGGTTTCGGTTCGTGCTTCATCAAACACTCAAATTGGGGGGTTTTAAGCTTTCCAGCATATAATTTAGTCATATAAAATTATTGTTTTTTTGTTGACGTTTGAATCCGTGTTGTAAGTCGAGGTCCTCTATTACTTCTAACTTCTTCACTTTTTCGATGGTGCTGACTGGAAAATCTTTACCATAATGTTATACTCAAAGATTGACAGGTTGCCTACAGTTATTAACTCTGTGGTGGTTAGTTCACTGAATCGTATGGTAATCTCATTGTGAGGGATGTTTGCCGTTCCATCAGGAAACCCTAATTCATGAAAATTGTTTTACATTTTCGAAAGGTCTGGTATGTTGGTCGAGACGGCGTGAACATCTAGTCTTTCTCCTTCAGCACGAACTAAATTTTTACTTGTATTATTCTTCTCTTGTTGTATGAGATTGTCACCTCTTATAGGGCGAATTTTCTAACGAAAATTATTTTTACTCGAGCTTGTTATAGCAATTTTGTTAGTAACCTGATGAAATTGCTTGTTTTATTTTGCCTAAAAATGCACCTTCCTCATGAGCACTTTGTCAATATGGGACCAAAATGCCTAAGTTATTTTCTATTATAGTTTGCACTGTTGCTAGTTGGACTATAGTTTTTGATACGTTCATTCCACTGAAATCCAACCACTCCCTTCCTACACTTATGCAGGTGAAATGTCCTTTACTCAGTGGTACTGAAAGTAACACTGACAAACTCGTTCCTGAAAGTTTACTTATCGAATACTTTATGTTGAATGGAAGGTTTATGTAGTTGGAGGTTAATTGTTTTTTTACCGATACCAAAGAATTTAGAAGCTGATTATACTGAGTCGATTTGGTGAAAGTTACCGTATCACATTTGCAGACTTTTTGGAATACAGTTTGTCGTCTTTTCGTTATCTTCGTTTATTTCTGATCGTGGTTTATCGTTTCCACGTTACGAGTTTCGTCGTGAAATTAGTGCTCGTTTAGCAATTGAGAATGATGGTAAATACAACAAAACAATGCAATTTGGGAGCTAAGCCATCTCGTTCGCGTGGTGAGCATTGACTATTCTAGGTCACTTATGCCTCTTAGTCTGTTCTATAGGTGTTTCTTTGATCACATGGACCCGAGTATTTTTGTCGTTATTTGTCAATTAGGCAACCTTGTGTGTATGTAAATGGTGTAACCGAATCTCCCGTTTTATATTCGCTCATTAAGCCTTCTGTACTTGTGCCAGAAAAGGGGTATGATTGATTGGCAGTAAAGGTGCATCGCGGACACCAACCCTTAATGCTTGAAATAAATTGCACTTTCAATAGTAATATTAGTATTTTCAAAGAAGACACTTTTTTGTTCTAAAATAAGTGCTCTCACCCAACTCAAACGTCTCCTACACTTCCGACGGATTCCAACACCTCGTTAACCAACGGTGTCGTTCATAGTGGCGGTACAGGCTTGCGCAAACTTCGGAATTCGACGTCACCACCGCAGCTGCAGCCACAGACGGAGTTCCGTGCATTCTCCCAGGTGGGTACCGGCCAAGAGCCCAATGGCTTTGCGAATGATCTTCCAATCGCTCGGTCTGGTGATTTGGGCACTGAGGAAGTTCTGCGTTTTCAAGATGTTGAATTTAGTGGATCCACGAAGCATTCCAATCCTTGGAGGACCTTGGAATCTGGTGGGCATTGATTCGTGCCATTTTTATGCATAGGCTATGCATAAATTTGATACTGGGTTGGGAAGATTGGTTTGACACTACATACATACAAATTGGTACTTCTTTAAAGTTTTTTACTCAATTGTCATCCTTAAAACAGTGCACTGGTTCACGGCACAAATTGATCGAAGTATTCATTTCGAAGGAAAGTTCTATCTGTCATTAGATGCTCTGTATCGCCAAAAGGTATCCTAATAACTCATGTGCCTAAGGAAATGTTAGTTTTTAAGATCTCTTGATCATTTTTTTTTATAGTTCAGTGTCGGAAACAAACGGTACTTGGTCTCTCCTTGTCGTTTCACCAATTAGCTCCTTGAAGATTGGCACCTTACTGGCTAATTGGCGCACCTCATTTGTGTCGACCTCCGGGGCGTGATCACCAGATGGTTTTCATCCTCTTGCCATGTTGACTATGCAGCTAATGATGTAGAAACCAAATTTGCTCCCGTGCTTACCGCATCAAATATTCGAGATTCAGTACCGCTCTGCCAGAATCTACCATGCCTTGCTTACCTTCCACCCCATTTTCGCGCGTTAAACTGACAATCTTTATGCTACTTAGGTTAGAGCTCTGCGACAGAAATAAATTTGGTCGGGTAGTTGTCTTGCTGTCTCACAAAATAACAAGGCACAATAAAACATTTGCCTTGGTTTACTTAGCATTAAAATCTTCCTTTATTCCTAATTTATTAAGCTTAGGCACTTAACATGGACGCATCACTATTCACCTTAGGGTTCTAAACTTCCAACTTTAATACAACTTAAATTCAGGTGTTCTTCTGGGCTTGCCATAAATCTAGTGACGCATAATTAATACTAGTTCAACTTTGTTTTTCGATTTTTTTTTAACTAGCTCTGAGATTTTTTACTACTGTTTTGTCACTACCCTTGTTCTGTTTGTCCCGAAACCATAAAATACACCTCTTGCTAAACCCTGTGGGATAACATGAACCCATTTTGCTTAACCAATCTTAGCAACACTGGGCAATCATTTGCGCATTACACTTTTCCTAGTTGATTTTGCCTACCAAACTGTTCGGCTTACTTGGCCAATTTCAATAAGTCTAAGATACCAACCCGATTAGCTTAGGTGCGCAATTATCTACTCTGCTTAAGCTGCCTTGCGTTACCACAGCAACATGCCTGCAAGATCATGCCAATCTTTCGACATTACAGATAGCGCAAAGACAATTTTTTGCGTCATTGTGCTTACCTTCTACTTGCAAGCCTTTTCAAAACCAGTAAGATTTAATTTGAAGTTTTTTATTCGACTTTTTCTGCTCATAGCTGCCATTGGTATCGCTTTTCTTATTCTAGGTAAGATTGCTAGATGTCGCAGCTATCACCTTAATGTTGTGCACGTTACTTCAGAACGGTTACGAAGCTTTGAATTCAGTGCGTTGATATAATGGTCACTCAGATGTGTGTTCCTCCTCTCCACTCAGGACGATGGCCGGTGGCTGAGGAGACGACAGCGGTCGCCAAAGGACAGCGAAAGGAAGACGGCGGACATTTTCGTCCTCGACTAGCTACCTACGATTCAATGCGATTCAAAACCCCTCTGTATCCACTGGAGGGGTCTCGACGGGTAGAGTGCATTATGAAAGCCTACAATGAAATAGTGCAGAGGCTGGCGGAGAAACGTCGCATCTCAAACCGACCTGAGCGACTGATTGACATGACTCTTCAAGAGGTGAGTTAAAACTATACTATCATTGCACAATGTTAGCTGCTCCTTTCTATGTATTTGTATTTATGTGCGAGAGGTAAGCCTTTTCGGTTCCCATCTTGAGTGATCGGGAAACCATGGTCTGAGCTATACATCTGCCCTGCTAAGTAAGCGAGGCAGCACGACGCGTGCAGTGTCTTGCTCGTTAGTAGAAATGATGGTTTCCATTCTTGCGTGTTTACAGCATTTGACTGATTTTGACCTTATAGTTGTTACTATCATATTTAAAGTAAATTCGTTCATGACACTGATTGGAGGGCGCCATTGAGATCGTGCTGCTGGGGTGTTGAGCATGGATTTAGAACCTTTGAAAAATTGAAGCGCTATTAAATTCAGTTGCACTTTCTTTCCTTTATTAAACGTTTTCTACCTTTGGAAGCGTCATTAAAATGAGAGTTATGCATAGCCTCCTAGCCTGTTCATTTTCACTTTTCCTTATCGACGGAAACTGCTCTAATGTGCTTTGCTTTGCCGTAATGCGCAGTTCCGCTTCAAAAACCCATCAAATATGTCAAACATGTTATTTTTATATTTTCTTGCTTGATCCTGATCATATGCTACGGTTATGCTTAATGCAGTTGATGCATGATTAATCCCTGTATATATCTTCGATTTAACTCCGTCATTGTGAGCTCTTAATTAGCCGCCATAGATGATATGGGGAATCAGGTTCTTATGAAGCACTTGATGTAGGAGTATTGTGCATTTCTACCACTATTATATGCAAATACAGCCAAACCACATTATTAGTAGTGTTCAGGTGGGTACCTCAACTTCTTGTTCAAGCTTGCGGTTTTTTGCTCAAGCCGACTGGTGCACTAAATTTAATAGATACTAGCCTAGGGGTTTTAATGTAAATTTCGTTCCATTAACACTGAACCCATTTACCAATGGATATTTATTGTATTATGCGGATAGACTGCATTATTGTATTCGAGGATATTTGTTTTAACTTCAGCTGGAAACGGAGAAGTTGGTGATTCAGCGCGCACTGCTTGCCTTCGAGACAGCCTACGGCCGGCCTCGTGAACGCAACGATCGTGTGGTGATGCGTCCGGTCTATGACCGTTATCGTTGTGTGAAGCGACTGCTAGCAGGCGCCTCGAGCCACCATTGCAGCAGTCCTAACACACCGGCACGTGCCTTTGCGCCTCCCGACATGCTGGACTCCGCTATTGGTGCTGTTGACACAACTGTCCCGCTGGCTACACCGCATTCGCAGTACTCTGAGCACGTTTCTTCGTTGCCCCTCCTTACGGATCCGCCGCATGTAGGCACTACCGATGTGGTGACTTTGACACACCAGGGCCTCTCCATTGACACCTCTGACGACCCTCAGTTTCATAACTCCGCCGCTTCTAGTCGTTGTACCAGTCTTGTCACCTCAACTAATGCAAGGACGCCTGATGAGTGGTGTAAGTGTTTCAAGCGCTTTCCTATTTTCATTCCGCCACCACTCTTTGGTTTCTTCATTCGCTATGGTCATGTTCGAATCGCCGAAAGTCTGTTTTGTGTCGAAATCTCATAATAATTAGCAATTCAAACATCGTTCCCTGTATTTTGCACTTCTGTTTCCTCCTCAGCCCTTTATACTTTTGCATTACGCACTTTTCGTAGAATCTGAGTGGACAATTTCTGTAATTTTTAAAGTACTGGATTTTTAATAATGTTTGACTACCTAACAGGTACCACCATTTACCTTAAAGTCGGATGTTAAAACACGCAACGGTATACCTAGAGATCAAGGTGTTAGATGATTTTCATTCACTTATTTACGTCTACTGATGTTCGTTAATACAAAATTAGGTCAAAAACTGAGATGTAAAATTGCACAATCTGCAAAATTTTCACCAAGTTAAACAGGGGCTTTATAAGTTGGCTAAATTATTAAATACAGTCTTTTTTTCGAAAATCATACGGACTTTGTATCAGCGCCTTTCTTCCGTGATATTACGACTCACAATTTCTAATTTCCAAATTCCTTCAAATGGGTGGTTCACCTCCCTACGCTGTAGGCTATTAACAGATAAGGTCAAGTTCGCCGCATAAACACCACCTTCTGTTTGCCCCCTTTTTCTCTTCTGCCAGAGTAAATCCATTATGTATTTTGATGTCGTTTCAGATAGTAAGAGTCTGTTTAGCTCCTCTAGTACACCATTAATCCTTCAAGTTGATGGCATTTTCTAGAGTCACATTGATGTTAGCAATTGGTTGACAAAACGACTTCATTTCCTATTGCTACGACAATTGGTAATACAGTGATCTTTGAGTTTCTGTACAGGCTTGTCGACAACGCTCTTCATTGTCTTTAAGATTAGTTCTTTGTCGGCGGTTTTTTTATAGCTGTAAGAATTTAAACCGGGTAGATTGAACACAGTTCGCACGATTGTGAAGTACAACAACACACCGTGAATGACTACACGCAAGCCGTCACCTTCATCAGTGCGTAGCTGTCCTCCATTTCTTGTTGTAATCGATGTGCTCTGGATAAGTTTAGTCCTTTTAAATAGATTGTCTGGATTTTACTTGGCTTTACTTAGTGATTACTTTTCGAGAGTGTGCGTGAATAAGACCTTTACTGTGCTTGGAGATGTCAATTTTAGTTGGTTCCATTGGTGTCTCAACGCGGCCGTCTGGTCAGCAGGCACAATCGCCACTGCGCTACTCCGAGGTGGAACAGGCGGGTGAGAGGGAGCATAACACTGGTGTCATGTTACTAAAAGGAGAAGAGGTGGGAGCATTTGAAGTTCGAGTGCAGGAGATTGAGGAAGAGAGTGAGGAGCTGACGGTGGGTAGACGAACCCCATTTAGCAGAAGCCCCTTGCTGTCCTTGTCGCCGTCACCACCACCGTCACCACCGACCTCTCAGCACCCGCGACGACGACAGCAGCGCTGTAAACATGGTGAAGCTCCCATCTCAACGGCTCTGCAGCGGACTCAGTGGTCTATCGACGGTCGTGAGAACGCCCATAGCCAACTGCTTTCGCAGCCTCCTCGGCAGCTCACCCTTTTCCCCACCACTTTCTCTTCTCACCGCCATCATGTCCAGCACCATCAGCATCAGATTAGACTCCCGGTAGGAGGCGATCCCGAGTCAGGAAAGCCCCTGTGTGTATACGCGCAAAAAAATTTACTTATGAACGGTGTTAACAAATTCATGTTTTACGTAAACACCAACGTCTTGGGCATTTATGGTGTCAAGCTCCGAATACCGGTTTTTTAGCGGCCTTATCAGGTCTATATACTGTTTCACTTACATTTTTAGGTTGGTTCTTCATGAATTAGGTAACCCTCAGAAATGATTTCTTCGTGAAGCCATAAATCAGTACTCATGGTTATGTACCCAGCGCTTCATTTTATGAATACATTTTAGACCTTACCCTTCGTGTAATTGCGTGTGAGTCACACGATTTCCTACAAATTCTACGAAAATTTAATGTCGTACTAAAATTATCATCATTTCTACGGACCATTAGTTACCCTGTCACCTGATCCTTCTAGCATAAATAATCACATATACTGTGTTCTGCGTAATGACTTTTGTGTTACTTATTTCGCAGTATCAGGTCTCTATTTTTTGTTAATGTTTTTAATGCGTAATGAAGGTAACTGAAGGGCGTAACCATAATGCTAGCTTTACGGATACTATTGTTCATACATATAAAGAAATCAACAGAGTTCGTCGCCTTTATTCTGTTGTTCTCGCTTTATGTGGTTTAACGCTGTGTTTATAATTTAGGGAGCAGGCTATTGCTGATTGTGTCGCGAAGTATGAAACATTCACCTTATCTGAGCTACAGATTGAGCTCAGTTCTGTCAGGGACTCAAAAAGGACACTTCAAAAATTTCTTAAAGAATTTGAACACAATTTTGAAAGGAAGCACGGTAAGTTTATGTGGGTTACTACTGTTGTCGCCGCATCGAAATTCCGTTTCTTTGAAAAGCATAGTTACTCTATAACTTTGGTTGAACAGAAACTCACGCGCTGTACCTACTGCTAATCATTCTAAAAATTTGCTGCTTTTTAATCTTTCTGCGCATTCTTCACTAGCAATGGCATATGCTCTTTCAAAATCTAGGGCGAAGGGTAGAAGTGGAGGATCGGCAACCGTTAAATCCTGAATATCTGCACTACAAGATGTTGAAAGCTCGCCTTACTAGTCTAGAGCGACTCTTAGAGGCCCGATCAACTAAAGTATAAATTGTCCGCCTCCTATCCCCTGTGTCAAATCAACGCACCTTCCGGTGTAAAGGCAACTTGGGAGCTACGGCCCTTCCTTGTGTTCGCTAACTGCATCGCCCCTGGAGCAGAATATAGAAGTGTCTCTCCAATTAAACTGCATTTCCTTGTTTTTTTCTCATTTACAAGGAGAAAGAAATGACATAGACGCAAGTTATAGAGCGCTTGGTCTTCCCTTAAAGAACCCTAATTTTTGTATTCTAGAAACTGTTCGTCTTCACTTCAAGTACTCTTACTCTTTGATTTGAACGCGAAATGAATTCCTTCATCGCTCTTCAGAATGCGGCCGTAAGACTTAATTTTAACGATTCATAAACACGCCCATGCATTTCTACTGTAAACACCTCAACGCAGATGTTTCTGATCAATTTACATTTTCACCATTGACTGGGCCTAACTTTTGATGCGGGATGAAAGGTGGTGGCGACACCTTTCACATAATGACGACTTTGTTGACACCGCAGTAGAATAATGCTTAGGTCTGAGAAACAAGCAATGCAATTAGTTGAAATTCCAAAATAGCAGTCAGAGACTTATAAGGCAGGCTGTGTACTTCTCTCTTCCGCTTCTGCCTTCTTGTCTTCACAACGAGCAGTCGGGTTAGGCAAGGGGTGCTTCACTTGCTGATGCTTGTCATTACTTGGGTGTGGCGTGTTTAGACTACGTATACTCATCAGAGTTCGAAATTTGTAATTTCTGATGGTCTTGTGCCAAATAGTTACATTTTAACAAGGTGAAAGACGTGCATATTGCCACTGAATAGAGGAATCATTAATGATTCAATCTTCGAGAAGTAGCCTGTTATTGCTTTCCGAAAGGTAGTCTTTAGTAAAAAAAAGTGACGCCAGTCAAAAAAAACATTTAGAAAGAATTTTTTCGTGAAGGTCCCTAATGTACCTGTAAGATACGTTGGCAGTTTGGAAAGTGAATATCTACCCTTCAGAACTAGCGTAAATTCCGCAATCACCTTTCAATATCGAATCCTTAGACAACAGTCACTTTGGTGTTCACCTTGCTTTCGACTGAGTAGACCGGCTCTCGGGGCAGGCCAAAGTCTCGCATCTTCTCCTAGTCCTTGAGTACAAGTTTTCAGCCATGTTCAACGCCTTTCAGCACCGTGCAAGGGATCTCGCGACGTTACACTGGTGGAAGCGGAAAGCCAAACTAACAATGACATAAACTCATTGCTGGCTTGCATTGTTTGTGTAAACGATGTGCGTGCATGGAGCAAGGGAGTAGCTAACGCCTTCACAACAGAAGGACTGGGAACAGCGTTCGCGTTTGGCATTAGCTCCGACTCCTTCTACCACTGGCACCCTGTTAACAACTGAAGCGACACCGCCGCAAACCACCTGGAATAGTTTAGTATGGCGTCTGGAGTGTCGCTTACTGCATCTGCGTGTGGAATAGGGTGATGATGTTATGCTGAACGGCTTTCTACAGAGAACTACGTTCGCTCCCGTTTTCCTTGGTACACATCTGTTTTAAAGTAGTGTTCCTATGTCTAGTCACGGACACAATTGGTAGCCAATAGGAATATCCGCCTCTGCTTC